ATATATTTGATTGCTTTAGGAATTTTTTACATATACAAAAGTTGTCTCATGTCATTATCTACTCGACAAAAAGAAGAAAATAAAAGAAATCATATTTGATCATTAAAGATGAGAGATCTTAATAGAAGATTTTAAGTATTCATCCTTACGAGAATGAAATTCTATCGGTTAAGAATATAGAGAAATTTTATTTTTAAAATCAAGTCAAAATTATTATTTGATTTGATATGATCATGATTTTCTTATTTCCTTATTTTTCATCTTATTCTTATTCTCGAATGCTAAAAAAATCATAAAAAATAATTAATAAATCGAATTACATGAGAAGTCTAAAAAAATATAAACAAATATTTAATATATTAATTTTGTTCTCACATTATGTACGAGTGGTGTGAGACCATTAATTATGTCTTGTATAATTAATTCTATTGAGATGTATGGAGGTGCAACAATTTGAATTTTCTTATTTTGCATTAATTTATCATTATTATTTTCTTATCTCCTTATCTCTATTCCTCTCTCATTCGAAAAACTATTACTCGTCCTACGTCTCAAAGCTGTGCGTTGCATTACCATCACAGTCCTTCCATACGTACGACGACATGCATCTCCAAATCTACGAAGGTATACAAGTCAATCACCGACAAGATCAAGTTGGTACGACCCCCCAAAATGACTTTGGTTCACAGGAAGTGTCTCCGCAAACACCAATCAGTGTGTAACCAAAACACAATCCAACATCTCTCTCTCTCTCTCTCTCTCTCTCTCTCTCTCTCTCTCTCTCTCTCTCTCTCTTTAATTGGCATGTTCAATCATTCATGTGAAAAGCTTCTCTTGTCCACGAGCTTCTCCTCTTGTGAAAAGCGATCTGAAATATATGAAGCTCGTGTCGGGGAGAAAAGGCCAAAGGGAGCGAGAAAAGTTTCTGATCCTCCCTCTTATTCCTGACATCTCTCAAGTTCAGTGTCCAGTGAATCTTTCACCTTCTCTCCAGCTCATATATCTCAGATCTCGGCACCGACAAGGAGTTCTCCAAGAAATAGACACTACAATAAGACAGTCCATTGGCAAACATAGGAGTTAACTATACTGAAAGATCTCCACTGTGCCATTATCATGCAGTATCATAGCTAGACATGTTCAGATCAGCCATTAATCTTTCTACTGTCTAACAGTTTATCCTTTTCCCTTTCCTTCTTCAGGTGCTAAGCTCACTTCTTCTTTGTTTCTTTTCACCTACCTCTGCTCTGCAAGTGGCAGGCAGATCAAAAACCTAATCCGAAGCGAATATATATTTGGAGAGAATCCATGCCAACCAACACAAAGGTCATAAACCATGTGCTTGCTCTCAGTTTGGAGCATGTGACCATGTGATGCCTCTCACTTAACAACTCCACCTTTCTGATGAATCTTAGCAGCCAAAGAGATCACATGAAACCTAATTGATTGCCCACATAAACAAATGACAGCCCATTGAGAAAGATAGCATGGGACTGATGCGATCTGTAGTCGATGGCAGGAAGACGACTAATGGACGCCCGCAAGTCATGGATGTGGCTGCAGCAGTCACATGCCATTTGCCTTCTCCTCCTATATAGACAGCCTCTAAATGATGTTAGCATCCATCCCCTTGACAGGAAGTGTTCACTTCGAGGTGGATGGAGATGGGCGTCAACTTTGGCCTCTTCGCTCTGCTAATCCTGAGCTGCTGCTCGTTCACCACGATCGAAGGCCTTGCACGATCAGGGTGGACCAAGGGCTCCGCCACGTTTTACGGTGGCAGTGATGCGTCGGGAACAATGGGTAATTAGGAGGACGGATCTTGCTGCGGCCATGTGATTTCGAGGTCTCAGTGGATTGTTTGGTGTGCAGGTGGAGCTTGTGGCTACGGCGACCTGTACTCGGCGGGGTACGGCACCAGGACCGCCGCCCTGAGCACGGCGCTGTTCAACGACGGCGCGGCGTGCGGGCAATGCTACAAGATCGTCTGCGACTTCAAGACGGATCCGCGGTGGTGCGTCAGGGGCGTGTCGGTGACCGTCACCGCCACCAACTTCTGCCCCCCCAACAACGCGCTCCCCAACGACAACGGCGGGTGGTGCAACACCCCTCGCCAGCACTTCGACATGGCCCAGCCGGCGTGGGAGAAGATCGGCATCTACCGCGGCGGGATCGTGCCGGTGCTGTTCCAGAGGTGGTTCTCCCCTCTTACTTCTCTCACGAATCCATGAGCATGCTCGACCTGGACCAACCATGTCTCCTTGCCACGCAGGGTTCCATGCAAGAAGCATGGAGGGGTGAGGTTCACCATCAACGGGCGGGACTACTTCGAGCTGGTGCTCGTCACCAACGTCGCAGCAGCCGGATCGATCCAGTCCATGTCCATCAAGGGATCCAATACGGGGTGGCAGCCGATGTCAAGGAACTGGGGAGCCAACTGGCAGTCCACCGCCTACCTCAATGGACAGTCCATCTCCTTCAAGGTGACAACCAGCGACGGCCAGACGTTGGTCTTCCCTGACATCGTCCCTTCCAACTGGGGTTTTGGCCAGACCTTCTCCAGCCGCCTGCAGTTCAAGTAGAATCAGCTCTCGTGATGCATGCGATTGATGGAGAGTTAGGGTTGGCTGAGGCTTGCTGAATGTGGTTGCTAGGGTTTGCCCGCCATTCTGCCAGAGGATGAGATGAAGCTTATATCATCTCAACTACGTACATGGGCATGAAGGTTTTTAAGCATGCCTGTATCCTTCATTTATGATACATGAGATGGATGTGCACAAGTGCATAGTAATCGACATGTGTGTTCTTTGTCTGTGTTTGAAGACAGTATATTGTCTCGTGTAAACGACTCCATGTTTTGCTGAACAGATTAAGTGATACTTATCGATGAGATTGGGTGGTAAAGATGATCAGCAATCAATCGGTAGCTACTGATATTAATAATGATAATGCTAATGGTAATGATAATGATTATAGTATTGATATTGGCAATAGCAATGATATTGGTATTGACACTAGTAATAGCTTTTTTAATTATAATATTAATTTAAATCGATTTGTATTAATAGGTTGAACTGATTTAAGAATTGGAGGAAAATTAAGAGGTAAAGTACCCTTAATTTTTTTAGAGACTTTTAATTTTTTTTAATCTTTATAAAAAAGAAGAAGAAAGAATGTGTTCGGAAGATGTGATAATTAGAAAAGATGAAATGATTATAATAAGTAGTACGAGACGAGCCAGAAGAAAATATAATTATAAATTAATATTTTAAATATAATTAAATATATAGCTTTTATATACCTATAATTGACGTCATATAATTATTATTTACGATGAAAATATGCTTTTATCAAACACACACAAATGATCTCTGTTGAACCACTCATATCTCCAACACCACATTGGTGACATGCTTAGATAAGAACCAAAGTTAGCTTCGTGATTTGATATCTCGATAATCAAAATCTACGTTAACACTATTATTTATCTAATTAATACAGTAAAAGGTACAATCAATAATTATATATGTTTTGGTTTTCTCCTCCTCCGTTTTTAAGTACAAATTGTTGTACTGGTACACAAGATTGGGTGGAGAAAGCAAATGTTCAACCATGTGGAAGATTAAGATTTGCCCAAGAATTGGGAACTCCAATTCATATGGGAACTTGATCTTTTCAGGACCATGATTCAATCGAGCCATGTGAATATTGGAACTTGAATATTAATATTAATGCACTATGTTCCTCTTAATCGAATTACTTGAATGCATTTTATGTTCTTTCTGTTTTTTATGTCATAATTAACGAATCCTCAAAACTCAACCAACAATTACAAGAGAATAACTGGAATAAAAGAATTACGTCATTGTGCACAATATCTAAAATTTCTCAAAGTGATCATAGCAAGAATCTACTTCTGATTTAACTTAAGATGAGAATACTGTTTAAATGATTGAGAACAATTTCTATGTTGTTCTTATATTTTTTATATTTTTCTTCTCTTGTTTTTCTGTCCAAAACTACTATCGTTGCTTCCCCCTTTTCATAACGATTGCTATCCATTTTTCTTAGATATAGGTTAAAAGAAGAAAGGATTATGACTCAAGTGGGCAGGTAATTTTTTCTATTTTAATATAATTTTAAAAATGGATTCGGATTCATATCGGGTTTGTGACCCGACAAACATGATTTGTTGTTCGGAAGAGTCCTCGCCGACGTCCCGACAAAGGTAGCGACGGAGTTCACGACGACAAGACGTGGAGCGTCGTCGTGTGGTGTGAGATTAAGGGCGAGCGTGACATGAATCGTGCTTTTTGCCTTTGCCTTTTGTGGCCCCCGCAATTTGGCGTCCATCTCTTTCCACCGTCATGCGAGCTTTTGGGACGGGAGAATGTGCATCCACAGCGGATAATAGCGTACGACTGTCATTTCTTTCTTCCTTCCTTTCTCTCTCTCCATCTATCTCTCTATCTCCATCTTTATACGTCCTTCGTAGCAGTAGCAGCAGCAGCAGCTGACACCATCTTTCGGTTGGGTGTCGGAGTGTCTCTGCGGGCAAATGCTTTGTCGAAGACGCTACTGAAAGAAAGGTGAAGGACAGCAGCACGCACCACCCGGTGAGCTACTACATGATGGATCTCACTCCAGCTGACAACCAATAATCCAGTAACCAAAATCTTAGCCGGGTTGATATTCGATAGCTGCGCTCATGGATGCAGTTGATTAAGATACAAAATGAAAGTATGTGCAGTGATGAAACAGGCAACCGAAGTGAAGGCTGACACACAAATCATCAATTTTGAGACTGAGAGCAGAACCATGGCTGCCATGCTTTCCGTCTCCACCAGACTCCATAGCTCCGCCAGCTGTCTTGGCCAATAGGAAGATAAGTTGGCCTACCCACAAAGTTGAATCTATCTGGGGAAGTCAAAGAACTGATCTATGTGACACAAAATCTAAATATTAGATATGGATTCCGATTTGGCATAGTTAGTATACATGACTTTTAAGCACTAAAAAGAATTCCATTCCCTCCTCCACAGTTCCCTTTAAAGCACAAAACGACTCAGTCATTCAGATCCCATATTCTGGCTAGGGGAGGTCATCATCTCCTCTTCCTCTCCTCCTCCATGACTCCCTACTCCTCCATGCTCTCCAAGAACACCAGGATCATGGAGGAGGTGTGGAAGGACATAAGCTTGAGTTCTCTGCAGCAAGACATGCCTTCCATTCCTTCCCTTCCACCAAACCACCTCGAGCGCCTGTGCGGTGTCAGCTCGTCGACCACCACCTCCTTTAAAAGCATCATTCTCCAAGACTTCCTTACCGAGCACTTCAAGGCGACCAGTGACCGCAGTCCTCCTCCTTCTACCGCTCTTGGTCTCAACTCCAACCTCGGCGGTGGCAGCAATGGTCTCTCCTCCTCCTCCGCCTCCAGTTTCTTCTCGGATGGCGTCGGTGACGGCGTCGTAGCTTGCTGCAGCAAGAAGCACCAGATGGAGCATGAGTTGAACGAAGAATCCGGCGATCGGAGCGACGTCGACCGAAGGAAGAAGCGGATGATCAAGAACCGTGAGTCGGCAGCTCGGTCGAGAGCCAGGAAACAGGCATCGGCTCCTCTCTCTCTCTCTCTCTCTCTCTCTCTAACTTTTTCCCTCCAGTGATTATGAGTTCTCACTCTCTTCACTGTGCTTCATGGGAAAGGCTTACACAACTGAGTTGGAGCAGGAGGTGGATCACTTAGTGAACGAGAACAGGACGCTGAAGCGACAGTTTGAGGAGGTAATTCCGAGTTCAGTAGCACTTTAACAGTCCCTTCTTCTCCCCTTTGATGAGATCAAAAGGCTTAAGTCGTCGTTCTTTGCGCAGCTAAAGAAAGCCGCGCAGGATCACCTCTTCGTGCCTGCAAAGCACACCCTCCAAAGAACCCTAACAGCTCCATTTTAAGGGAGAGAAGAACAGGGAGTTCTCTTTACAGCCGATATACACTTCTATGTACAGATATAGCTACTGTGATAGTAGTACATATACGTAGAACGCCTCTCTCTCTCTCTCTCTCTATACATACATATATATATATGTATGTATGTATGTATGTATGTATGTATGTATGTATGTATGTATGTATGTATGTATGTATGTATGTATGTATGTATATATACTTAGGGTATCTCTTTATATTGTATACATTGCTTATGCTTGTATATCTATCTGTCTGCTCTTTGGAGAGCAACAAGAACTCTTGTAAATTTGATGCTACTTAAAAGAAGCAGTCTCATTTTATTTCTCTCGACATCACCGTATTCACTCCACTTCTTTTCTCTTTTACTAGAAATAGATATCATAAGAAGGTGCAAGGAAAAAGAGGAGAGGTCGATAGTGCATGACAGGTGTGCTAAGCGCGTGAACTTATTACACTGTTCTTCCTCTCTTATCGGTGGCAAGTCTGGGAAGTAAAGGATGATTGACCCCGAGAAACGAGGTTGCATTTTTCTCATTATAGCCACATATGTATTATTGGTAGTCCCTACTCGGCACTCATGAAGATCACTTGTCAGCACACAGGCATTCATTCATGTGCTGCCAATCTTTACCTTGATTCCAGGTCCACAGACAGACTGTGAGACGAGACAAATATGACAATACAATTGTCATAGCATGGCCACATGAAACCAAGACATCAAGTTGGTAAAGATAGTGCCAGCCAACAAGCATTATGATGGCTTGAAAAACCCTCCATAAAGCAGATAATTGCTTTTAGGTGAATCATTGTGACTGGTTCCGTTAATTCACAGTCAGCTTGTATATATATAAAGAATCTTGCTGTCCTCTCCCTGTCATTGAAGTAGCCAATCCTGATTCGAGCAGACCACCATTTCTTTCATCTGCCATGACCTCTTTGTGCTTGGATGGCGTTTAGGATTCTCCATGCACAGTATGCATGGGCCTCACTTGTTTGAGGTGACAGATTAGGTACTTCCTATGGTGCAGCAGCTCAGATTGGATGGGTGAGTGGAATACGCTGAACCTGATTTTTGAGACAGCTTCTTCAGCCTCCCTCTTGGATTAAGATACGTAGTGTTTTGCACCTTTATGCTGTCGCCGAGGTATCAACACTGATCCATCCCGAATGCACAAGATTATCAATATGGTTGAAGGGGCGTAGGTCTTAGGTCTCATTCTCCTACGTATCAATAAAGCTGAAGATTACTTTTTTAGGTCTTGACTATCTGCATACAGAATAAAAGATTTTTGATTTGATCCCTCCAGTACTTAAGTTAACGAGAGTTAAAGATAAGAGAGTTAGAGTATATGTATGAGGACCAACCCCAGCACTATTCCTAAGGATAGCTTTAATATCTATTTCTACGTACGATCATATATAGCAACATTAATGATCCTCGATCGTCATCGTATTCAAGTGTTTAATACCTGCTAATATCGTAGGTGGTTAGCCTTTGCGTTGGGTGTAAGAGCCATCTAATCTGCTCGATTTAGTCTCGTTCGATGTTACTGTCCACCTACTGTGTGGCGCGATGCATAGTTGCAGAGGGATAGAGTGGGTGTAGAGAGATGGCTTCAGGCGATCGACATGCTCAGGCTCATGATGTTAAGTTGGCTCGATGCGATACGTTAGTTTAGGGATACCACGTCAAGTATACTATGACAGCCGATTGTCAGATGGGACGAATGCTAAAATATGTTATATTTCGAAAGAAAGACGTGTCTCAATACGAGTATTCTGGACCAGAATCTAGCATTTCATGGCTGCATTGTGTGTGTAGATACATGGAAGTAACCAAAATCTTTTCGAGTCACATCATAGATATCCCACAGGGCAGCCGAGGGGTCACCAAATGGACCTGCTCGGTAAGTATTTAACGTTAGGCACACTATTATCGACCATGATGATTTATATCACATCATTAAAGTTATTAATAAGACCATCCTATATATTAATAATCCATCATGTTTGGCTACCGTGAGCTGTTGGAGTGGATGCAGTGGCATGATACAGCTGAAGAAGGCACCTCAAAAGGAGTCAAAAGAATAAAGCTCTCAAAGGTCTTGTCGAACATGCTAAAGAGAAAGTTGGTATCCTCCCTGAACATATTCAGTATGGAGGTGGAAGTATTCCTACAAATTAAAGGTGCAGATCGAAGGAAGATACTTCTGAATGCTACGTGCCAAAAGAACCATGCGTGTAGTACTAAATTGTATTGGGAACGAGAAGTAGTCACTTAAGAGGTAAGAGCAACTAAAGCCTATGCTCAAGAAATCCAAAGGAGCCCTTCGCCAAAAGGGATTGGTAAAGAATCGAGCTAAGCTAAAGAAAGGTAAATGAACGAGCCCCAAAGCATTTATGAGCACATCATACATATAGTGTTAGTCAATTTGACGTGACAAAGATGACCTAAACAGATCTTCTTGTTCATACCCTATCACATTTCCGTACTTAAATGAAGTATGATGGAGGTCCAATTAGGAAGATCGAGTCACTTGATGGATTGGTTCAAGGCATGTTCTTCCGTCTTCGAAAAAGAATTCAAGTGTGAAATACCCACTCGGATTTGTGAATTGACTGAAGGGGAGTTCTTCCATATATGAAAAAGGATTTGGTATTTAAATCCACATTTAGACAAGTCTTATAAAACTTAAGCCAAGGGTATTTATTCATCATGAGTTCTTCTACGCTCTCATATCATTATTTATTCTTATGTGATGAAATATGTATATATATATATTGATATTATAGTTGATATGACATACTTAATTGACACATCATTGTTTAAGCTCCATATGTTAAACTTTGATTGTTAGTGAATAATTGTCATATCAATGATATTTCTCATAGAGATCAAAAGCTATTATTCATATTTAGATGATCATTCCAAGTTGTAGAATTGTCAACCAATCAAATAAGGAAGTTAAAGGGCCAATCTTTGCCTCATGCTGCAAGATCAGTACCAAGTGATGAATCACCAACAAGTTATAACTCTATTCTAATACATCATGAATGGTTACTAACTTGCAAGAAAGGGAATCTCAAATCACTATTTCCAACTTTAAATGGATTGGCCCCATCTTTTCTTCTCAGCTAATGCCATACTGAACATAAGAATGAGTGCAAGGACTGAATTAATCTGAGGAGGGATGCTCAAGAGGGTATTATTATCTAGCTGATGTGACTAATTCTTTACCATTTTACTCCTTTGGATGCCTCCACACTAAACTTTGGCAGCAGAATGGATGGCATAAAAGAGAAGACTACTTGACCAAGGAATCAGAATCTCTGGGTGGAAGGAGTAATCTGATGTCCTTGGTTCCTTTAATGCTTTTAAGAACTGGTACATGCACCCCCAAGCTTACTGTTACTTGTGCCACAGTTTGTAATGCATTGTACAAAAGTTTACTGACATTGATGTGATTTTACACTGTGATTCCAAGCTAAAAAGTGATAGTAATCACTCGACATGAGAGCTATATGAGCTGTTCAATTTGAAGGAGTTAACTGCTGTAGGTTGTGTCTCACTTAAATGCAGTAAATATCACTTATTTTTTTACAATAGTAACAAACTGTAATTATTCAATTATTTAGAATCTTTTTTAAACAATGATGAAAGGATAGACTTAGCACTAACATAATATTAAATATTATAAAACACTCGACAATAAGATAGGTACCTAAGTTTAAAATATATTTCGATGAGAATATATTGATACGATTAAAGATAAAAAATCGATAAGAATATATTGATACAATCAAAGATAAAAATGATATAAGGATGTGGAGAGCCCGACGAGAAAGAGGGGTCTTAGAAGAGATAAGGTATACTACCTTATACTAACTACTATAATCGATTAAGTATTATAAATTTATAAAGAGAATAATAATGTATATAATTATCTAGTTTATTTCAAAGAGTGTATCATCTATTTATTGGGTTCATTTATTTTTTTCAAAAAAATCTTCTATTAGAGTAAAAGAATAAAATTCAGATTTAAAATTTAAGAAACACATTGATAATTAAAAAGGCAAATATTAAAGTATTTTTAACGATAAAATTTTTTTTTTATAAAAAAATATCATTTGACTGATAAAAATTTTGAATTCCGTTTTTGTCATTTTATTTTTTCTTTAAAAAAAATAATATTGTTGGTTTAGCCAAGTTGTGAAACGCGTTTTCCAGTAAGATTGTTTCCCATCATTGCGGAATCGTCGGCCAGATCGGGCAGGGGTAGGTCTTGATCTTGACTTCTAGGGCTTCCTCTTATCTCGGTTCCCTCCCGAGCCCTTTCCACTCTCAGTTCGATCCCGGCTGTGGTGGCCATGGCGAAGACGATCATGCTCAAGAGCTCCGACGGCGAGGTGTTCGAGGTCGACGAGGCGGTGGCCATGGAGTCGCAGACTATCAAGCACATGATCGAGGACGACTGCGCCGAAAACGGCATCCCGCTCCCTAACGTCACCTCCGCGATCCTCGCTAAGGTTATCGAGTATTGCAGGAAGCATGTCGAGGCATCCGCCGCCGCTGCCTCCAAGTCCTCCGATGATGGCTCCAAGCCCACCGACGACGTGATCAAGTCCTGGGACGCCGAGTTCGTCAAGGTCGATCAGGCCACCCTCTTCGATCTCATCCTGGTGAGATATCTGAATGCTTCCTCTTCTCTCATCGTCTTATATTGTTATCTTTTTGGTGATAAATCTAGTTTGGTTCTGCATTTACACGTTTAGGTGGTAAATGTGATGTATTTGTTGATGATGAATAGATAGAGGATAATTTTGCTAGGTATAGCTTTGTAAGATATCTGATGGATGTTTGCAAAATAAGGTAATTAACAAGCTCATACATATTCACTATATAACAATACGGTATCGTCATCTTTGGTGTGTTTTCATTGGCGTTTGGTGATGATGAGCCTGCTTAGTAGCTTCCTAGTTGTTTTTTTTGGCCTCATGTTTCCTTTTTTTCGCCATTCTAGTAACCTTTTTTTAATCTCCAGTGAGACATTTGCAAAATTGTATATTTCTTTTTCTACAGAGATGCCCTAGATAAATCTTAGTTTATGAGGAGTATAAAGCCAATATTGGAACTCACACCTACATGAAGGAGACACACCGCAGAATAGCTTGCATTTTCTTTTGTCAAATCTTTGTAATGTTTAGTCTACTTGGGATGGAGAACCATCCTAGAATCCATGCATAACCAATCACAGGAGCACTGTTTTTTATTCATAGTTTATTCTTGTGTCAAGTTGCTTCGACTTTTGCCTATGTTTATATTGGGAATCTTTGCTTTTTATAAGGTGATAAGATATTGCTGAGTAAACATTAGCATGACTTTTGTTTGGTTGTGTAAGATATTGCACAATCTGTGGTTTCCATTGTTTTAGGTTTGCTTGTAAGGCATTTGAATCAACTGAGTTAATCTTCTGAAGCAAATGCCTGATAAACCTAGGTTATTTATAGGGTCTTGGAAATTGGACCAAGTTTAGAATTTTTGGGCATGAACGCTTGTGATTACAACATGACATACTTGTGAGGTTTTAGTGAAAAACCTAATGATCATCAATTTGGAAGGTTTTTTTGTTCCTTCTAGACATGCTGTTTATCTCTTTGATGTATGCTTACTGTGCTTCAGCAATCAATATTGAAGCTTATAGATGATTGGCTGTCACTGGATTGTTGGCAGGAATCGACCTTGGGATGGTTGACCTATTGCTAGTTGGCAGGCATTTTCCAGTGTATTGGTCATTGAGTGCAGCTTCATCATCAATTGTTTGTCATCAATTGGCCTGGCTGTCACTGGTAGGTCACCGAAAGGTTGACATGCCATTTATCATGATAGCTGAATATCAGTATCCTGTTAGTTGATAAAACCAATATATTGTTGGTTGACAGGCCACTGTTTTAGCTTGTCAGTGGATTACCTATTTCAATATATCATATCATCGGTCTCAGTCAGCTTTAACTAGACCACCAATGTGCATAGTCCACCATTATACTGTTGGTTGGTTGCTGATTGGTAGATGATCATCTGTAGTCCATTGACCTTCTGTTTCAAAGGGATACAGCGAGACTGGTGGTTGGTAAACTATGATCACTAAGGTTTCTGGTTGATGATTGGTTAACATATTATAGATCATCAGTTGGTGATTGGTAATTACTGATGTAAAATCTAAGATTGCTCTCTGGTTGTTGGTTGTTAATCAATAAATAGATTGATGGATACTATAACCACTCTATGATTGCTAGTGAGGCAGTTGGTTGATAATTGGAGATCGTCTTATGTATCATCAGTTGGTGACTGCCAATCACTGATATAATGTGATATTGTAGATTGCTTTCTAGTTTTTGGAAGACGGTCACCGTTAATCTCTATCCATTGATGGTATGTCAGTTGATGATTGCTGACATTTGTAGATTATTATTTGATGATCATTGGCCAGTGGCAAATTTCTGCAAGTGTTGGACCACTGATATTGATTGCCAACCACTTATTGATGATGGCTGACGGTAGATCAGCAGTTACATGCGAGTTGATGATTGGCTGTTATTGGCAACTGGCATCTACAACTTGAGTGGAAAATTTAAGCACTTTAGGATGTGAAGAACAGTTAAATTGAGTCAAGTAATTTTACTAGCACCAACCAATAGGAGGCTTTTTTTAAGGTTAAGCTTCAACTCATTAGTCTTTAGAGTGCATTTTATTATTTCTTGGTCATATCTGTAATTAGTGAATTATTAGACTATGGTTAAACAGTATTGGGCATTTTAGAGGTCTCCGGTCTTGTATTTATTTTTCAAAATAATAAGGGTTTCTGGTAAAATACATTCTTAGATTAATGTAATCTTATGTCTTCATTTTATAAGAAGTTGAGAGGTGGCTTTTAATTGATATTTGGGTGTCTTTTATAAACAAGAAACTGCTGAAGTGAGAATAATTAAATCATAGGGTGATTCTTAATTGTTTTGGGTTAAAGACATTCTTTGTTATTGCAGGTATTTCTTCTGTTTTTTAAATCATCTGGACCATCCCCTCTCATAGTCCGCATACCTTCCTCTATATAATAATTGCTTGGAGTGGTGTTCCTAGGCTCAATTGTAGAAACAAATAATACAAATGGTACTGGTCACATGTGTTATCTACTCAGCCTCCTAAAAGCAAAACATAGAACCTAACCATCAATTAGCTTTGTGTTACGAGTCCTGATATTCACTAAAACAAAACTCAGGAAGTTGGCACGGTAACCCAGACGTAGATTGACATAGTAAAACTAAAACTATTGAAGCATTAAAAGAGTGATTCAAACAATTCATAGCTATGCAGGAAATAGTAGGTAATTGTGGTAAGACATTAACAATAGTTATTTGTAACTAAGAGTTAGGCTAAAATGGTCTATAAAAAGACTTACTTCGACTCTTTCAATGTCATATGCCATTTGACCTTTTTTTTTCCCCAACAATGAAGCACCTACTTTCCTCTAACTTCGTTTCTATATGTCTGTGATGGTCTTTGACTTCAAATGGGGTTGCTAATAAACATGTCATACATGAACTAGGACTGTTAACTCAGACATAGGCTTTTGACTAGGTTACGCAACCCTAGGACCTAAGAATTGTTAAAATCCTACTTAAATAGAAAAACAAGTATTAATTTGAATAGAAGACATAGTAGCCAAACAGGCTTAATATTATGACCCATTAACTGCAAAATGTAGCATGACTTAACCTTATATTCATTTATGCTATATCAGAAACTGATTGGATATGCTGCCAAAACATGGAATATCAGCTGATTATTCTAGTGACATTTTTTGTTTAAGGCCATTTCATTCTTGTCTGTTGAATTAATAAGATAGTTTATGAGAACAACATATTAATCATATAATCTTGGAAGGATGATCGTCATATTTGCACATCTTCTGGTTTTATAATTGATGGTGTGAGTTTTGCTCATCTCAAAGAAAAAGTGTGCAACAGGATTGGTTATGCTTTATAGAATAACACCACCACCACCAAGTAGAAGTAACCAAAATGTCCTTCCTATTTGGATTGGCTACATGGTGTTATCCTGCAATTAAGCTCTGATAGGACAATTCTCTTCCAATTTCATTAATCAAATCAAATTCCATTGGTATTTGCCCTTCCTCTTATCCTAACCTAAAACCCAGTCAGCAAGGGAACTCCATGATCCAAACATAGATCTGCTCGTTATTAATTTTGGTTCTGGCCAGTTTTTTATCTTAAATGTTTGTTTGTTGTCCTGCCTCTCTCTCCGCTTTGGTTCAACTGGTAGCCTCTTGGTGATCTCCAGCCTTGTTCCATTCCCAGTTTCTCTCGGACGGACTAAACCATCCAGTGGACAGATGTCCTTTGTTTGGGGCTAAAACTAACTCTTTTCTGAGTAGAAACATAGAACAAGTTCTCTGACCATAGGAAATTGTGTGCTGGATATTGAGTTGTGCATGGGATTGAAGCTTGAAACCTCAGACGGTCTACTTGCTTAAGATTAATTGGAAACAGATCCCCCATGCTATATAATTTTGGTATTGCTCAGAATAGATTGAGGGAAGATTATCTATTTTCCTTGATCATATTGCTCTACCTTGTGTTACCTACCTGAACAGACAGTGTTCAGGTTCCAATGCTATGCAACTGCTTGCTTTGGCATACATATCAAGCTTATTATGTTTCCTTTTTTGTTTCTATGATTTGGTGGTGTATTCAGGCTGCAAATTACCTTAACATAAAAGGGCTGCTGGATTTGACGTGCCAAACTGTGGCCGACATGATCAAGGGGAAGACGCCGGAGGAGATCCGTAAAACCTTCAACATCAAGAATGACTTCACCCCCGAAGAAGAGGAAGAGGTTCGGAGGGAGAACCAATGGGCCTTCGAGTGACACGTATGCCTCTCTTTCGTCCCAATAATGATGTACTTGTCATATATGAGGTTGTAATTAGATTGGAAACCGAGTTGATGCCAACCTGCGAGTGGATCAATCTGCAACCGAAAGGATGCCTCCATGCGAATCACTACTTATTCATAAACCACAACCTCATCGTGCTCAGCACGAAGTGCAAGCATTTATTCCACCCTCTTACATCATCTAGCTTCTGCTAACAACACCAACGCCATTCCCTTCTTCAACTCTCCACCAGCTGCTTCAGATTGATAGGACTGGCGTACTCCGATGCCCCACCGTACAACGCGAAACCCGCCTTCTCCGACGTCGCATGTGTCGGGTGAATCCTATCCCAGAACAGGAACTCGTTGCGGTTGGTGCAGAAGGTGGTGTTGGGCGAGCACATGACCTCTGCCCCCAGTTTCCCCAACCCACAGCAAGCACTGCTCACGTCCTTGTAACCTGCAGCAACAGCAGCAACACTCACTCAGTACACGATTTAGCCACTTCCCATCCATCTCTTCGCCACATGTGATGTCGATCCGAGCTTACCGACTCCTGCGGGGTCAGAAACTATGCTCATGACGACGTTGTACGAGTTCCCGATCGTGTACTTCATCCCTTCCATCTCCGAGCTAAGATTCTTCACGAGGACGCTGACTCTGTCGTTGAAGCCCTTGGTCAAGGTGTTCAATCCATCGAGGCACGCTCCCAAGGGATGCCTGACTCGCGAAATGGGGCAGCACCCGACCGGCGGCACGTTGATGAGCGCGAACTTCCTCGCTCCCAGATCGTACAGCGCCTGTGCCATGAAAGAAGAGCGCAAGCTCGTCACGGTAGCCAACAGAGCCAACATCGATCGTCTCGCTGAGGAAGGAAGCTCACCTTGAGATGTGTGGTGTAGTTGGTGATCATGACGTTGTAGAACTGCTCGGTCTGGTCGGCGGTCGCGTTGCCGCCCGTGGCGAAGAAGAAGGCGAAGACGTCGTTGCCGCCGGAGCTGATGAGGAAGACGGACTTGGACAGCAGTCCCTTGGCTACTGCCGAGGTGACTCGCGAGGCGATGTTGGATTCGTGTGCAGCGAAGTCTTGGATCTGCTTTGTCATAGTTATGGTGGTGCCCTGGAAGATGAAGATGGTCGGAGGGTTAGGGTAGGCCATCATTGCAGAAGGGAAAAGGATGAGTTGATGAGAGGCGGAGGAAAGCTCACAGTGGAGTCGAGGATTCCGGATCCGCCGGAGGCAAAGCTCACACCTCGCCGGCCTCTTAGGATGAGCGGGTGGGGTTTGTTCACCACAGCGACATACGGTGGTGGGCTTCTTTTGAACCCCATATGAATTGCTGCCCACATTGAACACAAATTGATTCACTTCCTTCACAAGTGCTAAGATAAAAACCCCAAATTCTAATAGATCACATGATGGTGTTAATTCAAGTCCTACGAATTGTTGTGCACCAAATTATAATAGATTTATTGGAATTACTGTTCACTCGGATAGGGTCGTTTGCATTTTGGAGTTATTGGAGCTCCGATCACCATGTGATTCACGTGATTCATTCATTCATCAGTCATGTTCTGTTGCTGCTTTATTGAATTAGTATATAAAAACAGTTTGGATTGTAAATTAAAGAACGATTTTTCAGAAAATATTCATATTTTGAGTTATTTTTCAATCGATATTCTTATTTTATTTTTTTTTCAAATAATACCTCTAATATAAAAATTATCTAAACTATTTTTTTTAATCTATGATAGTGTTTCTGAACACCACAATAAAAGAACTATAAAAACTACTTGAAAATAAGCTAAATATAATCAAAATATATTAAAAATTGTTAGATATATCATATTATGATTCAAATAAGTATAATAGTTTAATAATAATATCATCTAAATTCAAATAAAAAATTAAGTTATTATTATGTTTTAATCACCATAATAAAAACACGGCCTACTTAAAAACATTATAAATGAACAAAATAGAATCTTAACCTCAATCAAATAAACTATAAGCTAAAAAATATAATATCGTAATGAACTACGAGCAACGACAATAAAAAAGGCATAATATGATGTTATTTATAATTTTTTTAACAATCTTTATAATATTTTAATACCTCAATAAAACATCATAAATATTATTAAAAAATACCTCAATAAAAAAAACCCAAAATATGAATTTTTTTAAAAAAAGCTGCCCCAAATTAAATATAAAAAATAATTATATGCTTCTTTGCATTTGGAGAGGTTGTTTTGGTGACTAACATTTCATGTTGCAAAGTAATAACTTTATTATTATACAGTGTCACCCTTAAATCATTGATAATGATTTAATGCATAATTAATAAATATTGGTAGAATTATAGATGTGAAAAAAAATGATGAATCTCTTACTTCTTCTTATTTTTTTTTAAGAAAAAGGAAATATTATCGCCCCAAAAATCAAATCATGACACCAGTCAACCACGCACCTAAGAAATCAATGGTGTTGTAGCCATTGCTGAACCGTCCGGTGGGAGTCTGGTGCGGGAAGTCGACGCCGTAGTGGGGGAAGTCCGCCTTGGCATCCTTCCCCGGCAGGTAGTTGTTGTTGCCGACGTCGGCGGTGGAGTCGCCGAAGACGTAGACGGCGGGGACCTTCGGCAGCGCGGCCGAGACCGCGGACAAGGCAGCAGAGATGACAGCAAGGAGGAGAAGAGGAACGGCGAGCTTCATCTCGAATCTCTGCTCTTCTCTACTACGCCGAGGGTGGAGAATGGAGAGTTGGTGTCGAGTGCCATTTAGCTCAGAAGTTGGAGCTGTTTATAGAGAGCACAGGAAGGAAGAGCAGCAGCCACGTTAGACTCTGAACCATTCATTTCATGGATTATATTAATACGATTAGATTTGTCTACGGTGAACGTGAAACGCGTGGCTTGAATAGAATGATTAGAATTTGTTTCCTTGTGGAACAGTCGAAAGATAAAAAAAAACATGAACATCAACATTAAAATAATGTATTGTTAGATATGGAGAAGAAATTCATCCTACCATTATTAAATTATATGGTATTGTTTAATTATATAAGATGTTTTATAAATTTAATTAGAGTTTGATGATTATTATCTATCAATAAAAAGAAAAATATAATTATGATAAGATTGGAAGATCACAAAGGACTCTTCTAATTATTCATACCAGATTTTTTTATTTTTGTCTATAAAATGATAAGAACTCTTACGAAAACTCAATCAATCATTGAGATTATAGATATTTATAATTTTCTTATTCCCTAATCTATCACTTGTAGTAGTATCAACTTTTTGAAAATTGATTTTTGAATCTGTCAATGTACCTATAGATTAGATAAAAACATTCTTGATAGTATCAAAATGTATATATTATAAATATGATATATTATTATTTAATTTCAGTTTCTGATATCAAAACTTTTTGTATAATAATAGCATAATTATATATTTTTATACTTACACAAAAAGTGTGGGAGAAGAATCGACACTAGTGAATTTGGTTGAACTTCGAAGAATTCATCTCTTTTATCAAAATAATTTAATATTTATTCAAATATTTAATAAGTTGATTCTATCCGAGTCAACATAAGTCGAAAGATAAAAGGATTTTAGTCTCGATGGAAGATAAGATAAATCAAAGAACACTATGGTGCTTAAACAAATTAGGTTAGCATGATATCAAATCATCTAAATACTATCAAATCATCTAAATACTATCAAATCATCTTATCTAAATACTATCAAATTAATCTGCTCTCTCCAACTCATCTAAATACTATCAAATCAAAACGGAGAATAATGCTGCTGATGTTCTTCTGAGAATTATCTTCTCATATGATAAGAAGAAGAGGATGCTGGAACAACTCTTTCACACAGAAATATATTATCTCACTCACAAAAGACTCTACATAATGTACGGTATATCTATAAATTTTCTTAACACCCTTACTTGGAGATCAACAATCCTTCAAAGCCGCTGTCTTCAGTTTCATCAAGTGTTCTTCGAGCATGCGATAGATATCAATGCTCAAGACAAAAAAGGAGCTTGTCTTTTTAGTCCGCGTTAGATGGACGATCAAGTTTGACCCATCAGCACAGGAAACCAAAGCACGAGAAAAGAATAGCAGCCCTCAATCATGTCATTGAATTATATATATATATCTAAACTTTGATTTGGCCAATGTGAACCCTGAAAAGCGTGGGTTTGGACCAGAAGGAGATAAAAGTTGACGGTGCAATCAATAGGATTCGATTGTTACTGTGTAGAACAGTTGAAACATGAGTCTGGGAACAGTCCAAGCACATCTCCAGGCTGTGATTCCATCTCATGGATTGCATACATACTTGGATTAATTTGTCCAACCTGAATCATTGAACACAGAGCTAACACGTGAATTTAAGTTGACAGCACAATCCGATTTGTTCCTTTTGTCGAACAGCTCATGGACGAATCCATGGACCCAATAATTATCATATCAGTTTTACATGTTGGACCGACACGATCCGGCTCTAATGGAATAACTATTCTATTACTTTCCCCGTGATCTTGCAGGGAAGGTGGCAGCCATAGAGGAGGGTTTAATTATTAGGGCCACACGTTGAAGTGCTTTGGAGATGGATAAGAATTAAGTAGAGAAGCACACAGCCTTCTTCCCGAGGAGACGAGGTTTAAATGTATGACAGATTTGAGGCTTTACTCGCCTCCACAATCATGGAGCCAATTCCTTCACCGTCAGTCACTCACGTCGGCATGCGTGGAGATCATTTTGACACTTGTTACATCGAATTTAATTGATGACATCAATGCGGAAGAAAATATCTTTGACTCTCTAATCCTTAATTTGAAACACTTTCTAATTCTCATATCAAATTTCACTGATATAAATATCGAAATAGTCTTGTAGAATGGGCTCAACATCAATTCATCGATTTAAAATACTTCAATTTATAATAGTCGGCTCATCTATCTTCTCTTTCATGTGCGTGACAGACACTAAATTATGATGTGACCATCGATGTAAAGGAAGATTAAACATCGTTATAAACCACTGGTATTATTTTTAATTCGGTTAGACTTCTTTAGTATATCGA